AGCCGACGAATCGGCCTCCAAGCATATCCTCCAGCTGAACGTGCCCCAATACATCGCCACCGACCCGATCCTGATCCCGACTGGGAAGCTAGAATCCGTCAAGAACACTCCGCTGGATTTCATCCAGCCGGCTGAGATCGGCTCGCGCTTCAAAGAGACTGCCGGTCTTTGCGGCCAGGACTGCATCGGATACGTGAGTTCTTCCAGCACTCTCTTGCTATCGACATTATTGCCCCACTGAGTAATGTCGATCGGTTGGTCAAGCTAGGACAATGCTTTGGTGTATGATGTCAATCGGCCCATCGACGCTCCAGTGATGGCAATGTGGAGTCAACAGTCAGGTATCAAGTCAGTCAGCAGCATTCTTGCGCTCAGAGTTCTCGGCGAAAATCGTGGTATGTTTTATGTAGAGCTTCGCACTAAGAATGTGACCTATCTTTGGGGCGTTTTTGGTCCTTCTAGGATGTCAGTGATTACCGATCAAATAGGTGTTCAAGTTTACACCTGTAACGCTATCGTCCCTAAGAAAAAGAACATCCCACCGGTCCCTCGGAAAAAATCTCAGAATGGGCCGGATGCGGTTTATGAGAATCATTCCTGTGTTGCAATCGAACAACGTAAGTCCCAAGATAGGTTTTTTTTTGCTTCATTTCAAAGCGTTTTCTTTCCTTCATTCCAGCTTATGGTAATCTTGGAATGACAAAGCCCTTGTACCTTCACTGAACATGAATGTATTCTTACTTTTTCACTTGGTGTGTACTTAGAGGGGTTAATCGATGCCATCAATCATCCAGAGTGGAAGATCAACAGCATTTATGGACCTGATCGACCCTATGAATGGAACACCATTTACGAATTCTCGACTATTTGAATCCGCATTTTTCTTTTATTCCTTCCTAGCTCAAGCATTTTTTTAATGCGCGAACCCATCATCATTCGCAAGACATATATGCCGATCGTCTGGGTCATTGTAGTCAATTTAAGTCAGCTCGACTGGCTACTCTTGATACTAAGATAACAAAAAAAAAAATGAGTGTTCCCTTTTTTTGTTTGTATAGATCAGTTCAATCTTCTATAGCTCCGATGCTCGTTTGAATCTGTTGTATTTTGTGCAGCTTGGATCCTTTGGTCGTTGTTCTTCCCTGCAAGACGCTCTTACTCAACCTTCTCATCTTTTTTCATCTTTTTTTTTTTTTTGCTCAACCTTATTTATATATACAACTCAAAATTGCAAAACCAGTAATATTTATTTGCTAAAAATACACATAACATATAACGTTCTCCAAGAGCATCAAGCACTGATTGCATTCATAATCAGGATGTTCGTCGCTCACCTTCAGAATTTCACATCTCCATGAGTTGATTCCTTGACTACAAGAGGTTCAAAAAAATAAGCTAGGTGTAATGGCATGTAGGTGTCATAGTAGTTGAACTTTGGTATTACTTCGCATTACTTATGTATTTATGTATTAAATCATAAAGTCCAAGTGGAGAATTAGTAAATTAAAGTAGTAGCAAACTAAAACGGAAACAGACTCAAATGTCTTCGATTGTCAGTTTTTCTCGGGTAACATATTTAGTTGGCCATAATATATGATCTGGGCCCTTGTGGTCAAATTCGGGTAAGCTATTACGAGTCCCTTAAATTAATTGTTTATTTGAATTTCCCAGCCTGAGTCAGAGTATGCATCTCTAAAATGAGGGGGATTCTTTGATAAATATCTACATGGTTGTAAAATTTGTAAAGGCTGATAGAGAGGAAGAAAAGTGACAAGATCAAACTGGTTCAAGGGTCTTTTTTCGTGGTTGTTCCCGACAATGCATTTTGGGCATTGACTCGAGCGGGAGCGGAGCCGACCAAGACCACGGAGGTTCAGAGCCAGGGCCTGAGAGTCTTGATAACAGCTTCCTAGTAACCTCGATATCGTCATCTACGGCCCCAGTTTTGGCTGTGGTGCCCAGCTTGCCCTTTTCGGGCTTGGTTGAAGCGTCCAGTTTGCGTCT